CTTTATCTGATTATTGCATCATTCTGAAGTTAACGTGTCGTGGTAGTCTTTGGCGACGTCGTACATTTGTCCCATCTCCTGCGGCTTTTCTCTTGCGACGGGCATCATAATACCAATCGGCACGGATCTCGGAGACACAACTAAGATTACATGGCTGGTAGGCGGGTGGTCCATCGCCTCCTCCGTGTCCTTCTCCATGGCGGGGGGTTTGAGTGATGTGTTTGGGAGAAGGTGGACGATCCTCTCCGGCCAGATCTTCTGCGTCGTCGGCTCGGTATGTAAACGTCCCATTTCTCTCCATTTTAGGCTCCGCATGTATGAGACCCTGCGTGGCTGATCGGAAATGACAGATTGTGGCGGCAACGGCACAGAATGTGAGCACCATCATTATCGCCTCAACGTTTCTCGGGTTTGGCTGTGGCATCATCTTCGTGAGCTACGCCGGGATCTCTGAATTGCTTCCCAATAAATGGCGGTAAGTGGGTGGTTGGTTTCTGCTTCTTGTGCAGATGATGCTAAGATCCAAAACAAGTGGAACGGGCCTGGCACTCACCGAATTCGCCATCAACGTTCCATGGTGCGCCAATGTCCTCATTGCCACTGAGCTGAACTTGCACACGTCACTGGGGTGGAGATGGTGCTATTACATCGGGCTGATCTTTGCTGTGATCAGCACATGTGGTACCCTCCTGTTCTACTGGCCGCCCCAAAGACCCCAATTCGACAATGAAAAGACTCGTTGGCAAGAAGTCAAAGAGCTAGACTTCATTGGAATCAGTCTGTACTCGGCTGGACTGGTGACCTTCCTCATCGGCTTGACCTGGGCCGGCCAGGCAGGCCATCCATGGCGAAGTGCTTCGGTGATCGTTCCGATCATTGCTGGCTTCTGCTGCTTAATGCTTTGTTTTGCGTACGACTTTACGTTGGCGAAGAGGCCGCTGTTCCCACTTGTGGTCTTCAGGAAACTGCGAGACTTTACCATGTTGCTCGGCATCGTCTTCGTGGCTGGTATGGCGCGAGCCTTTGTCTTCATCTGCTCCCCTGTACTGACAGACTTCAGGAATGACGTTCTACTCCATGATGGCGCTACTCCCGCAGGCTTCTTTGTATATCTTCACAAGTGATGCAATGGAGATCGGATACATTGCCCTGCCAAACGGGATTGTTCAGGTATGTTTGGCCCTCTATACCGGAACAAACTTGGAAAAGCAATTAATCCAGGAAACAGCTACTGTTCGGTGCCGTCGCAACCAGCTTCATGGGCAAGATCAAACACTTGAAAGCGCAAATTCTTGTTTCCCTCGTCATCCAAACAATATTCATCGCCTGCCTCGCTGCCGTTATCCCACAAAACAAGGTCGGCTGGGCTGCACTTCAAGCCTTTGCAGTGGGACCATTTGCGTTGGTCGTGCTGGCTTGCTATGTCATTGCAGGTCTCAATATTCCACTGAAGTATCTGGGCGTGGCGACTGGTTTGATCGGGACTTTTCGAAGTATGGGAGGAAGTGTCGGAAATGCCATCTTCAATACGATTCTCCAGAGTGTGGTGGGCGCGGATCTCGGACCTGCCATTGCAGCGGCAGCTGTCGGGGAAGGCTTCAGTCCCGCAGGTCTGGAGGCACTAATCCCAGCAACCATTCAGACCGTGGTCGGCGTCCCGGGCGCCTTCGAAGGTGTTCCAGGAGCTACGCTTGCTGTGCAGAAGGCAGCTATCGTCGCCGCACGGTCAGTCTACGCCAAGGCCTTCCGGATGGTCTTCTTCAGCACAATCCCTTTCGGTGTGATTGCCATCATCATTGCATGCTTCATTCGGGACCCTTCCATCTACCTGACGAACCATACTGCGATTCACATGGAGAGGGAAGGCATCTTTGACAGGAAAGCAACAACACATGAGCACAAGCACAGTGGGCAGGTTCGAGAACAGACACTGGAAGAGCAGTAGCGATAGCGACAAAACCTCTTGAAGTGAATGGCTTCGATACTGTTGAGGAGATATATGCTGGTCAACGAGTGTTCAGTCAAAGGGCATCGTCAATGAACTTTTGAACTTGAATAATACAGCCCAGCCGAATCTATTTAAAGAGATCAGGGCTGTAAAGTAGGAGACGAAAATTGCTTGGATGACAAAGGAAACGAGGATTCTCTACACTCAGGCTGTGCTTGTATACATGTTCAAATCTGTACGCGCAACGGATGGCGGGCGACGTGTGTCCTTCCTGTGAAGCGGAAATAATCAGCATCTTACAGGCTATTTTTCGGACAAGTTGAGTAGCTTGTCCTCGAGCAAATGAAATTAACACATATATGTACAATTGCCAATCCACTTGTCCTTTTGTGCCGTCCCAGTTCCTTGTAGTCGAATACTACCCAAAGAACAGCGATTGCGGAGCTCCTTATCCACGGGTGGTCAGCAGTATTTGCAGCGGGGAATACCACAATGCGCAACTTGTATCTCTATGTTGCACTCAGTTTTCGCATCGAAGGTACAGAGATTAGTTGGTCCTCAAGAGGTGGCGGTGGTGTACGAGGACAGGATGTGGGGCGTTGAAAGGTCCCTAGGTACGTAGTAGGTACATAGAAGACCCGCCCCCACCTCAGCCTCGTCAACCCACCTCAAGACCAAGATGGGGTGCAAGGTGGGGGGATTTGGTGGGAGGAAGAAGGGAAAGAGCGGAGATGGATGGGTCGAGATTGCACACCATCAGTTCATGTGGGTTTGGTCATGCAGTTCCTTGAAATTCTCGACTATCGGCAGACATCTATCCACAGATTTGGCGTGGTGTATGTGCGAAACGCCGCTAGGCAAATGCTGAAGTGCAAAATGTCCCCGGGCATATATCCTCGTGTAGACGCTGTAAAGACTAAAAGGAGGCCGTACCCTGTCACCTATCTAGGTACTTGCAGGGAACCTTGCACTCACCGTTCACCATGAAATTAGAAACCAGCTTTGCAAACACTGGGTTTCTCAACCACTTTACTCAGCTGTCGGCGTTGCAAGTCGCTATCTCACTGCTTGCACTACCTTTCGCAGTGGGACTGGCCTATATCCTGGTCGATTACTGCCGAGTCCTCAAACAGCGACGCAGGCTTCCTCCGGGACCTTTTCCATGGCCACTCGTCGGCAATCACTACCAGATCAAGCTCCCGCGGCCATGGCTCTACATGGAGGACTTGAGTGAGCAATACAAGAGCTCGATGGTCACAATCTGGCATGGTCACAAGCCAAATATCATCTGCAACGACATATGGACCATCTCTGATTTACTCGACAAAAGGGCAAACATCTATTCTTCCCGACCGCACATGGTCATGCTTGGGGATTCCCGGAATGCCACGGACTACGACCAAGTATGCCTGCCGCACAACGATCGTTGGCGATACCATCGTCGACTGACTCATAATGCCACGGGCTCCCAAGCCGTGCGCACCTACCGGCCATTCCAAGAAGCTGAAATCAGGATCTTGCTGCAAGACTTGTTGTTGACGCCGGACAATTATGTCAAAGCAATAGAACGATACTCGATCTCAATTGTGTCCTGCATCGGTTTCGGGCGTCGGGTGGACAAGATGAACGACGGTGTAGCACAGGTCGCACTGAAATTTATGGAAGGAGTGGACCTGGTCATGCCGGGAATGTTCATCATGGAGACCATCCCGCTCTTGATCAAACTCCCCAGATGGATCTACCCGGCGGCATCGAAGGTGCTGGAGAACGGCAAGAAATTCCAGCGCTTCTTTACATCCTTGTCCAGAGAAGCCTCCACCGCAAGTTCCGACAACTTTGCAAAGGCGCTCTTCAAAGAGAAGGAGGTGAATGGCCTGCGTGACGAAGAGATTTCCTTTCTGACCGGCAACATGATCGGTGGCGGAGTGGACACGACGGCAAGCACGACCGTGACTTTTGTTCTCGCCATGTGCGCCTTTCCGGAAGTCCAAAAGAAAGCCCAAAAGTTCATCGACGACATTGTCGGGACTGAACGCTTACCGGACTGGACAGACGAGGCGCAGCTGCCCTATATCCGTGCATGTGTCGAGGAGGCGCTCCGTTGGCGCACGGTCACGATCTTGGGGGGGATTCCTCATGCACCTTCGCAGGATGACGTGTATGGCGACTACCTTATACCCAAAGGAACGTGGATTACGGGCAACCTCTGGGCCATCCACCGAAACCCGGACGACTTCCCTGACCCAGACGTTTACCGACCCGAACGCTTCATCGAGAGAGAGCGCCCTTACCCGAACAAGAAAGGTCACAATGCTTTCGGATGGGGACGAAGGCAGTGCAGTGGACAGCCACTGGCTGAACAGGGATTGTTTCTGACGTTTGTGCGGCTTCTGTGGGCATTTGACATCCGCCCCGGCGTAGATGGCAATGTGAGTTCAACGATGCTACCCTGTGACAATTGAACCAGTACTGACATGTAAGAAGGGAAATGAGATACCGGTGGATATATTCGCATATGGGGAGTCGGAGAACATGCGTCCAGAGCCGTTTCTTGCTCGATTCATTCCTCGAAGCGATCGGCACCGTGAGATGGTCATCAAGGAAGGCGTCGCGGCAAGGGAATTTCTCAAGCAATTCGATGGCGAGACAAAGGTCAGAATGGAGCCATTGGAGATGTAAAGTACACGGGTCGTAAACAGCGATTCGGCCCTTGAAGCTGAACCTGAGGAGCCTTTTTTTCAGTGACGTGGAGGTGATGATCTTGCTATGCTGCTTCGGCGGGATGTATCCTGAGTCCATCGAGACCTAGAACCGTGTTAAAGTTCCCATGTCTCTCAGATCGACTGATGGCGAGCCCAAGGTTCAGCACCCCGGCTTGGACGCCCAAACCTTCAGTCCCCGCAATATCAGTCGCTTGAACCCTGGCCCCACCAGGTTGTTTGTGAATAAATACGTCTTGCAACTACCACATGCCCAAGTCTAGCACTTTTCCATCTCTTTTCCCGCTCCCCAACGACTTCGATCCGGCAAGGACCATTATACCCTGACCGCGATGGATGGTATGTCGCCCGCCGGCGGGAAGAAATGTCAATTCTGTGATCGTCGATTCAGCAGAAACGAGCACCTTCGCCGACATCAACGGTATCGTACGTCGGGCAAGGCCAGGGCCAGCTACGTGCACCGGCTGACAGCTGCATAGACACGGGCGAAAAGCCATTCCAATGCCAGTTCTGCAGCAAATCATATGCAAGAAGGTACGTAGTGCAGAAATCAGAGCGCCGGGCCTTTCTCACCCCGCCCTTCATTAGCGACGTCCTTGCCCGCCATCTTCGAAATCATGGCTCCGAAAACCACGGGGACGGGGCGAATACGGAGGGCCGAGAAGATCAAGAAGATTGCATGATGACGACGCAAGAATCCGCGCCAGAGGCTTCCTTTGAACTGCAGCAGATGGACTTTCCTGCCGACCAACGTGCTCTTGGATTCGGCCATGATGGCGGCAGAGGTCCCTCTCTCAACAACCTAGAGAACCGAGCTGAGCCAGGCATAACCCCCAACGAGAATACCATCACGCATGCGATGCAACTTCCGGCCTCAGAACAGATGCCGGCGATGGAGGCTTTCCCCGTCTCCGCCACGGGCTTTGATCTGAGCGCACTCTGCGGCTACAACTTCGACTTCCCTTCGGTCTTCGAAGCGCTCGACAGATGGATCACGCCCGCCCCAACGGCAGACCACGGCATGCTACCCTTTTTATCTCCAGGGCAGGAACCCCCAAATACAATCTCGGTCGACCCAGCCTCTCTAGAGCTGTCGAAGCGCGTGCAGCAGGCGTGGCCACGAAGGCGTGCGTCTCCCGTCATCCGCGTGATCCGCAACATGTGGCGCTGCGCCGCCTCGCACACGGCCGACAATTTCTTCTCGAACCCACTCGTCGCGGGCCCGTCTCGACCTCCGAATGCCAATATCTCAAGATCGAGGTGGAATATGGACGACGAATGCCGAGCCAGACTGATGTCAGATTGCGAGACCAACCTCCTCCCGGCGGAGAGCTACACCGGAGGAGTCACCGCGCCGGGATCGCCTCGCATCTCGGTCCCTTCAATGCAAGAAGAGGTGGAAGTGGAGGGCCTCTCGCCTCAAGCCCCCCGCCTCCCATTCCCCTCGACGGAAACGTTGGACATGAGCATCGACTTCTACTTCCGGCGGTTCCATCCGGTCCTGCCCTTCTTGCACAAAGCCACCTTCGACGCGAAGGCGACGCCCAGCTGGCTCCTGCTACCCATCTGCTTGATTGGATTGTCGATCCTCAACCCCGGCGGATCCGAGGATCTCATTCGCCTGTATCTCGGCCGGCTCATACGGTTTAGTCGCTTGAACCTCACCTACAAGGGTTTGGGGAAGGGTGGAGCGCACCAACTCTTGACGTCCCTGGCGTCGGCGCTTCTGGTGCTGTACCTGGGTTTGAGCTGTGAGAAACTGGTCGACGAGTACCAGGCACACATGCTTGCCATACAGACGCTCTTCATCGCCGACCGTCACGGGATGTTCTCGGCTCTTGACGGGGAGACGGTGGCCCTGGACATGTTCCAGAGTCATTTGGCTCCGGAGGAACAGTGGAAGTCTTGGGCACGGGTTGAATCCTTAAAGAGATTGGTAATATGCTTGATATCTATCGATTCGGCTTACACCAGGATGCTTGACCTGGCCGCCAACATTGGAATCGAAAGAGTGGACGTGGTACTGCCCTGTGACTCGACATTGTTTGAAGCACCCTCGGCGGCCGTGTTCTTCTCCCGAGTGGAAGCTGGGGCCTCGATGATTGCTCACCAAGCCGATCTAGCTGCGGCGCCGGTAGGAGCAGGGCCTTTGATTTCCACCCTCGACCCTCTGGGTCTGAGGGCACTTCTCGACGTCCTCTCCCTGCGCGAAGCAGCATACAGGCACAAGCTTCTCTCCAAGGCGACGTCTTCGTCCAGACTCACCTCCTTCGTTCCGGCGCTGGCATATGCGCAGAACGAGAGTGCGTCGAACATTGCCAGGGCCTTGGTATCCATCGCCACCACCAGGATGGCCGTGCTCCAGCAAGATACGCCGGCCGCGTTGACCTGGAACCATCTCTGCCTCCTGCTGTGCGCAGATATAGATCGAGTCCAGACTGCGTGCAGCAGGACCGGCTTGGAGGCCTCACGCAAGGCCATGAGGGACCTTTCCCCGTGGTCGCAGACGCCCAGCGCACGGCGGGCCGTCCTCCACGCGGCGCAGATCTTCAGCATTCTGTCGCAGCGGAGGGTCTCCGACTTCAAGACTCTGCTGCCGGAATTGCTCCTGTCGAACGCGGCGCTGGTCATGGCAATGTACGTCTGCATCAGTCCGCAGAACGACCACTCTTACACCGAACCCACCGAGCTGTTGCACAGACCGGACTGGTCCAGCATCGGAGACCAAGGGTTCTGCACGCGGTCCCGAGTCGATGACCGTGATCACTTGACGAGGTCCGTGAACGACCAGGTCCGGCGATTCATCACAGAGGGAGGAGCATTTACATTCGGCGGCGAGACATACTCCCCCGGCGCGGTATCGGCGCGGAAGGTGGTGCTCGTCTACGCGCAGCTGGTCGACGAGATCTCGCCCAGGCCTGGGTCGGAGCATTCGCGGCTGCTTCGCACCATTGGCGACTTTCTGGGCGGGGTAGCCGAGCAGTTGACGGCGGTGATGGAGGTCGGCTGAACGAGAGGCAGTCACCATTTGGCACCCCTGCGGCGGGCATAAATTGGCAAATGCTGATGGTAATACACACTACCGATCAGAAAGAGCAACGTTCCAACTAGCCCCGTCCTCGTCTCGGATATCAAGGCCCAAGGCCAGTTCTCACATCTTTAAAATCGCTGTCTCTGGATGCCTTGGGTCTGTGCAGGGCCTCTATTAGTCGTAGGTTGTGTTCTGAAATGGGATGCACTACAAAGCCTCTCTGCTGCCTGAATTCGACGGCGACGAGAGAGGACAAACCCCAGTATTTAACATGGAGGGCGATCCCGACCCATTGAGGCTTAATGGAAGACGACGACTGGTACCTTAGAGAGACCCAGTCACATAGCAGCCGCCTGCTTGCGCTTTGAGTCTCTTGTGGTTATTGGGAATCCGAACATTGATCCCGCAAGGACTTGATACGGTTCGAACCTGGAGCGGCCATCGCTCGCCCTCCAGGATCAAAGCCCATTGGGCAGCAAGAGTTACTCGTTCTCGATTGATCTAGCTAGATACCTACTGCTCAATACCATACCGACCTGTGACATAGGTATATATACTTCGTCTGTTCTGGCCTATAGCTGCGCTGAGGGAGTCCGCAAGGCTGACGCGCGAAAAGGGGTCGATCACACTGTCCTCCCAAAAACATGCTCCATATGCCCCGCACCGCAGCGTTGGCCAAATTCTGGATGGTTGAGCACTTGAATTCGACCGTGAGTCACTCTGAGAGAGATACTGGAGCAGAATAATTTTCCTGCATCCCGCGCTTCGCGTAGAGAGTCCAGATACGAGTGATAAGAGAGGAGAACATATGCAGAATATTGTTATGGACGCATGGTTGGTCCAGCTCAGTGCACAACATCCTTTAGGATCTCCTCAATCCAATTTTCATGGAGAGTAGGATGATGAGCCTCTCTATCCTGCTGCTCGAACACTGCGCACAACATAACTTGACGGTTGTTATGACCTTGGTCTAAACAGGGCCGTCGGGTTGATTGAGTTGCAGTCACTCTGGCACCAAAGCCTGTCAGCGCTCTGTGCCGTCCTGATTGATATCCTGATGATGGCTCCAAACAAATATTCAGAGCCCGTCGGTGCTTGTTCCTGACCCCTGCGCGAGATTCCGCACAGTGGACCGTCCCTTCCTCTTTCCTCATTGAAGACCAGACATTCGGTTTTAATCCCTTGGTCTACATTACCCGCCCTTCTTCATGCCTGCGGGCGAAGCCGCTTTGACAGGCGAGACCTCCGATCCTAGCTTCCCATCCAGCGATCCCTTTGCAAATCTCAGTGTGATCTTCTGCCGCTCCATATCTACCACCTTCTTCATCCGGTCCAGATCTCCGTCCCGGCCTTCGGCGTGCCGAACATTGGCTGCGCCATACGGCTTATCGATCAAGAAAGTATCAGAGATAATCATCGTGTTGCCGGACCAGCGCGCTGGATGAGTCCGTGAGAGGGAATCGAACAGCGCTTGATCAACTGGGCTAGTGCCCTTGGGACCAACACGGGCTTGTGCTGCTTGTTGGCCAGCTATGTTCCTCGCAAGTCGGGTTTGCACAGCATTGGTATCGATTGTGTTAAGGGCCGAGATGTTTGCAGATATAGCGGATGACTGAGGGAGCGAGAGGAGCTGAAACGTGCTGATCTGCGAAATGGGGATGATGCGGTAAGCACCCGCTGGCGCGACGAGGGAAGTGGAGGTAATGGAGGTGCTAGAGCTGGCAGTGGTGTTTATGACGAGAAGGTTGGTCAGGGGATCAGCTGTATAGACAGTCCCCTCCACTGTCGTTTGATTTGGCGCAGTGGTGGTCAGGCGGACACTGTGACAAGTATGAGCAACCTGAGGCGACTAGTCTCGTCAAGCACGAGCTTACCGGCTTCCAATCGCTAACTGCAAACTAACGTCCTGAGAGACCGAAGATGCTGCAGGCTGAGTCGGCTCCCCCTTGGGCAGGGCCACGGGCACTCTGGCTCCTGCATTCTGGCGTCTGGTGTCGGCTGCCATCATCATGCGATAGGGGCCCGCGGAAGGAGATCAGGTATGAAAGGACACTCCCACAGGAAGCTATCACTTTCGTAGCCTGTTGGCGAGCTGCGAGGACGTGGGGACTTCGAGGCGAGAGGCACAGAAGCGGCGTGGGTCTCAAACGGTTGGGATCAAAGTCGACGTGAGGCAGTGACAGGCCAGGCTCGTGCCGGCAGTCACGATGCTCCGGAGCGCAAAATTCAAAGCCAAATTGATACGCCGGGCGCCCAATGCCAATGCTTTTGGAAATGGAATGGAGAAGCAAAAGCGAACCGAAAGAGAAAATGAAGTGCGTGGTCGATCAACCCGCGACGATGATGAGCGCGAGAAGCCGCAACTGACGGGTGCGGTCGCAGTTCTGGTGGACAAACTTATTTGGCGAGAAAGGGAAAGGCGAGTCTGGAGTTGGAGCGGGATACGAGCCGCATATGATTGGTCTATCGGGGTTGGAGTTTCACCGAAAGCCGCAAAGGGGGAAGAGGGGGGGGGAGCGGGCGGTCCCAGGATCAAGTTTTTATTTTCCAGGCACAAAAACACGGCCCAATTATGAACACTATCTATGCCTTAGATGCAATCCTGAAGCCCTCCAAGCGAAAGTGCCATGCACAACCAAAAAGCCAGCATGGACAAGTTTTCGAAAGTCCCGTCTCCCAAGACGATGCTAGAAGACATGCGAAAGAGAGACAGAGAGGGAATGGGGAGATACGACGACACGTCTAGGCATTGTAGGTGGAAGCAGAGACGTTTCCACCACGGCCAGTCCAGTTGACGTGGACGTGCTCGCCCTTGGGGTACTTCTCGTTGGCATACTCGGGCTTGATCACAAAGGTGTGGGCACCGAAGTAGTCACGCTGAGCCTGGAGCAAGTTGGCGGGGAGGTCCTTTGTGCGGTAGCCGTCGAAGAAGGCCAGGGCGGTGCTGAAGGCCGGCATGGGAATACCAGACTTGACGGCAAATGCAATCACGTCTCTCCAGCCCTCTTGAGCGTTGTGGATGGCCTTGTTGAAGAAGTCGTTGAACAGCAGGTTTTCGAGGTTAGGGTCAGCACGGTAAGCAGAGGTGATGTCCTTCAAGAAGACCGATCGAATGATACAGCCACCACGCCACATAAGGGCGATGGATGGCTTGTTGAGTTTCCAGCCGTACTGTTTGGCAGCCTGTCACTCCGAGTTAGCATGTCAAGTGGGAAGATTCTCGCAATCGACTTACGGTTTGCATCAGCATGAAACCCTGGGCATATGAAATAATCTTGGAAGCATAGAGGCCCTGCTCGAGGTTCTTGAGGAAAGCGGCCTTGTCTCCCGTGAAAGAAGGTTTGGGGCCGTCAATCAGCTTGGAAGCACGGGTACGCTCGTCCTTGATGGAACTCAGGCAACGAGCGAAGACAGCCTCGCCGATCAAAGTGACAGGCATGCCGAGGTCAAGAGCGTTGATAGCAGTCCATTTGCCGGTGCCCTTCTGGCCAGCAGAGTCAAGAATTTTCTCGACAAGCGGCTTGCCGTCGTCGTCGTTGTAGCGAAGGACGTCTCGGGTGATTTCGATGAGGAAAGAGTCCAAGACACCCTTGTTCCATTCGGCGAAAACGTCACCCATCTCCTGGTAGCTCATTCCGAGACCACGCTTCATGATGTCGTAGGCCTGGGCTTGGTCAATGCAACACATCCCCGCAGCAGTTGGCCGGGTCGACTCACCTCGCAAATCAGCTGCATGTCACCGTATTCGATACCATTGTGAACCATCTTGACGTAGTGTCCAGCACCATCATCACCGACCCAGTCGCAGCAGGGCTCGCCGTCGGACTTGGCAGCGATGCTCTGGAAGATGTCCTTGATGTAGGGCCAAGCCTCCTCATTACCACCGGGCATCAGCGAAGGGCCATAACGGGCACCTTCCTCACCGCCAGAGACACCGGTTCCCACGAATCGAATGCCCTTCTCGGCAAGGTATTTTGTGCGGCGGTTGCTGTCCGGGTAGTGGGAGTTTCCGCCGTCAATGATGATATCACCCTTGTCGCAGTAGGGGAGCAGCTTTTCAATGAAGTCGTCCACGGCAGGACCAGCCATGACCAAGAGCATCATGCGGCGGGGTTTCTTGAGCTTGGAAACGAATTCCTCGATCGAGTGGGCTCCGACAATGGATTTGCCTGGGCACCATCCGTTAGCACGCTCACTTGCTACACCCGGGATTGTTCCGTACCCTTGGCCTCATTCTCGAGGAAACGGTCGACCTTGGAAACGGTTCGGTTGAAGGCAACGACGGTGAAACCATGGTCGGCGGCATTCAAGATCAGGTTCTGACCCATGACCGCCAGGCCAATGAGACCAAAATCACCACTGGGTTCGGCCTGCGCAGGGCCGACCTTGAGGCCAGCCAGTCGCGCTCTAAAGTCAGCATCCTGTTCGTCAATCGGGTGTAATTATATGACGCGGTGAACGACGCTTTGCAATGCATTCTCAAAGCAGGAAGGGGAAGCCAGGAAAGGGGACCATTGGGGGTGCCTGCGCGACAAGAGGAGGGGGACGTACACTGGACCAGACATGTTGACGGGTAGTAATGAAGATTCTAAAAGGTATGGATAGGTTCAACAGCGATTCAAGAACAAGTTTGACGGGCAGCAATCGAGTCTCTGTCTAATGCACCGAAAAAGACGAGAGTCACGAACGTCAAGAAGAGAGAAGACCGGTGCAACTGGGGAACGGGCAGTAATAATATGTTGATTAGAGCTGGCAACTGGCATGGATGACGGCTCAGGCACGGCTTCAACCCCACCAAACAAATTTCTCTCGTTGGAGGGGCAGTTTGGGCAGGACCACCGCCGTCACCCACCGCCGTCCAGCGCAGTCCACCAGTCCACCAGTCCACCGCAGTCACCGCAACTCACTACTACTCAACCACCCTTTGTTCGGAAGCCTGGGTACTGAGTCGCCCTCGGCCGGCTGACTACTCCTGCCACTGGGACTAGCCGTCTTGACCACTCATCGAGGCACGGTCAGTTCCCCAATAAAGAGAGTCTGCGACTGTTGCGGATTACGTAGAACTCATGAATCCAGATGCAATAAGCCAGCAGCAATCTGGTACCCGGCCATGTGCTATCGGGATTCGTGAATAACCAGGACACTGGTGACTCAGCATGGAATCGTTCTTCCAGCCCTGCTTGGTGTGCCAGAGGCTGAGGCATCAAACACCTAGACACCTGACAATGACGCTGGTCAAACTGCGACTTCCGAGATCCTTCTCCCGAGCCGTCCGAAAACCGCCGGGGTTGTGGTTTTTGGCAAACGAGACCCGCGTCCTGGTAGTATCAGTGCTCCGTACATTGGTTCCCCATCCATATAGACCGATGCGGGCGATTGACCCACGTGGGACAGCCCATCCGAAGGGCTCTGCTAGGGCTCAGAGCAGGGCGAGTGTCGCTTTTCCAATGTTTGTTCATGACTAAAGTCTCGGAGCCTCCTCAACAAACTGCCTCCGCTCAGAAAAGTTCTCATGCCAAGACCGGTCACATGTAGCTAGTACGGGATTATGCTATATGTGGCCTAGCACCTTCGGCAAACTTTCTTCTTCAAACTAGACTCCTCGATGCGCAGTTTGGTCATTGTTGATTCCAAAGGGCTTCGGCGGGCGATCGCCAGACGCTCTTCTACAGATTTCGATAGCCTGCCCATCTACCACTCGATCACACATCCTCCAAGCTTGCGACAAGATACGTCCGCAGCCCTTGTCTTCTGCAGCACATTAAATTCTGTCTCTGTCACCCAGTGACCTCGACGACCCCCTCTATACCGGTTGCTCTGGTCCAAGACTTAGGTAACCTCTGAAGAGGTCTCTGGTACGTCTCATCAACCAGTGGTTTTCACTACCAGATCAAACATTCATCATGTCATATCCGACCCCTCCAGGTCTCAATACCTCTCAACCACCAGCTTCACTCCCTGCGCGACCGCCGCCCTCTGCAGTCAGCCCCGCACCAGCCTTCAAGCCATCCTCGACCGCCGCCTCCGCTAAACCAGCCTTCACAGCCTTTGCTCCAAGATCGATAGCAAACTCATATCGCACAAGCAGTCCAGCGCAATACGCGGCAGCGCCAGTCACTAGCTACAGTCCTGCTGCACAGTATCCGCAACCCACCTCACTACCTCAATATGACGCATCGTACTCAAGCGCCCCTCAGATCCGCAACCCTTTCGTGCCGACTCCAGACACATCTTCCTCGGCGAGCCCATATCCAGGCTTTGATGCAGACTATGAAACCCAGGTTCAACAATGGCAAAGCGCATACGTGAATAGAGACGTTGGTACCACGTCCACGCCAAAACCAGCAGGAGGAACTTCCGCAATCCCGACCCAACAAACGAGCACGTCCCACAGAGAATCTGCAACTCAACATAAGGATGATATCCCCAAAACGGTCCATCGCTCTGGCGGCGGTACAAACTGGACTGATCCCACCCTTTTGGAGTGGGACCCGGCACACTTCCGCATTTTCGTCGGCAACCTCGCAGGCGAAGTGACGGATGACTCCCTCCTGAAAGCCTTCGCTCAATACCCCTCGGTCCAAAAAGCTCGTGTGATCCGAGACAAACGCACCACAAAATCGAAGGGGTACGGATTTGTAAGTTTCGCCGATGGGGACGATTACTTCCGCGCTGCAAGAGATATGAACGGAAAGTATGTTGGCAGTCATCCGATTGTGGTGAAGAAAGCTGTGACAGACGTGCGACCCACAAACTCGAAGCAATCAGGACACAAGGGCAAGGGTGGCGCGGGTGGCCATGGAAAGGTAGAGCACGGCGGTGTGCATAAGAAACAACCCAAGACCAAGGGTGGACTAAGGGTTCTTGGTTGAAGACGGCACGCTGTCATTGTCATGACTGGAATGAAGGGTTCGAAACTTTCATCGAGCAGGATGGTAACAGTGGTCCAACCGCCCAACTGAAAGGAGCCATGACCCTTCTGCTTCTCAGTTTTGTCTGGACCCAGAATCGACATGAAAAGCATAATCATATGGTTGAAGCATTTTCAGGGCAGGACATCAGAGAGAAGGGACCACGGCTATCCCTGGGGCCCAGTGACAGACGCATATGTTAACCCAGAACGGCGATCCCACTGTAACGCGTCCTAGTTTCCGAGTCCAAATACTTGGTCACGAATTCATCATATTTGGAGGACCTGTGGCGGCAAGGTTGCACACTATTTCTATGCGACGCTAAAGTCGCTCAAGCAAGGGTATGATGGAAAATACCGTCTGACCCGGCCTCGAGGGACGCGACATTATCAAGCATGCGAGAGTGGGAGGCAATCACTCCTTGTTCCAACCTCACACTTTCAGCCTAGATGAACGCCCCGACATGGGTTGTCGAGGGATAATGCTTCTTGAGCTCTTGACGCCGTTGTCGGGATATATGATGGTCAGGTAGCTATCCAGGTTATGATGCAAGAAGGCTGCCTCCGACCTTCGCTACCGACCTGGAACGCAGATCTCCAGCTGCATTGCAACCAATAGCAGGAGCGGAAGGTATGCTTTCAGCTCGGCCCACCGGTGATATGGCTGTAAGGCAAGAGGAAGAGCATATGGCATAGATACAGGATGAAAAAGGCCTCTCACACCGGAGCGTTCATTTCCAGCCACGCAATCCAGACATGGACAGATGCGGTGCATGGACCTTACAGAAGAAGAACAACAATAAAGAATGTGATAGATGTCTCGAGGAGAAGCGGTAACATATCCCCTCTTGCTGAATACGGGAAGTTCATATCCTCCCGATGACCCATACCGGTGGGTGCAGTGTAGTTTAGAGCCACTCAACTCTAGCCTGCCAGGGAGATGAATACATCTTACAGTGTCTGTCTTGGTCCCGTCTGAATCTCAATCGATTGAGGTGATTTTCGGTTTCGTTTGGAGCTGACTATATGGTATTATTGTACGGCGCTGCCCCGTGCAGCCTCTGCCTATAGATAGATCTCTTCATCCCTGAGCCTTCCTGAGGTCCATCGGCGCTGCCACTGCCAGCGCCAGCACGCAGTAAGAAGGAAGTGCGAAATGGTGGTGATAAGTGACGTCGTGAGTCGTGAGTCGTGAGTCGTGAAACGTAAGTAGTGAGGGGTGACATGTGAGAGATGAGTCGCGAGTAGGCAAACAAGTCAATTATAAGTCGGGAGTCGTAGCGTCATCACGGTCGTCAGGTCAGGCAGTCGTCAGAGTCGTTGGTATATCGCGAGGTAAAGGAAGGAGTAGGAGGAGGAAACGCGGAACATAAACAGCCCACCACAGACCACAGCCCACAGCCCACAAGCTATCCTTCCCACCATATCGTACCCGGCCCATCATAACACATCGCACCCCAATCTTCTCCCCGTCATCAGCATCGTGACCACCTGCAGCGAGGAACATTTTCGGACGAGTCCATCCACCCGTCCAACCATGGACAAAGAGCCCATGCAAAGATAGGAGAGCAAGGGGAAACCGGCGATGAGAGACATGAAATGAAAAGAGGAGCAACGCCATACCCAGACCTCGACTGTCGCAACTCATCTCCGCCGAAGCTGAATCTCCTTCCTCGACCTCCTCTTGTTCGCCGCCATTGTCTCCTCCACAGGAGGACGGCTACCCAGCTTCAAGTCCCTGCTGCGACTCCCCAACGCCATGCGGTCTCCCGAGTGCTTAGCACCGCGTTTCCCGTCCTCGGCGTCCACCACGGCGCCCGTGCTCTCGGGCTCAGCGGCCACGGCGCCCTTGGAGATGTCGTCCGGGTCCAACGTCGGGTCGGGGGCGGCGGGCTTCTTCTCCGCGTTGTGGCTCCCATCAGGCCCCTTGGTGGGCTTGTGTCCGCGGTCCTTGTTGTTGTTGTCGTCGTCGGAATATTCGTTCGGCCGCACGACCTTCAACTTGATCCCTTCGGCCTGGAGCGTCGAGTACACTCTCAGACCCAACACGCAGACGGCGTTCCACGGCTCGTTGGGCCCGTCGCCGTCGTCCTCTGCTCCGCCGCCCGGCGGCTTCAGGCCAGGCCCGTCGATGTCGATGGCCGGGTTGAGGAGCGGCGAGCGGGAGCGGCGCCGGCCACGGCGGACATGGGGCCTGCTGATTCGGCCCAGGCCGGGAGTGAAGGCCGGGGCCGTCGACGAGGTGTCGGACTCGGCGTCGCTGCTGATGTAGGGCGACATGTCGAGTTCCGAGTTCCAGTCGAACGGCGGGAAAGAATCGGTGTCGGACACTGCACCGTCGTCATTCGCGGATCCTCTGTCGTCGCTGGGGTCCCGGCCGCCGTCGCTTTCGCGGTCGATGTCCAGGTCTCTGACTTGGATCTCGTATTCTCGGTCGTCAGCGCCGCTACCGATCCCTAGCATCACGGCTGTGCTGTTGAACGTGTCGCTGCGCAGGGGGGCTTGATGGCGAGGTCCGTGCGACATGCTAGATAGAGGATCCCTCTGTCTTTTGATCACAGAAGTGGTGTCGTTCCCTGAGACGGTGGCTTTGGACGCCTCATGCTCCGGGCGAGACAGTGGGGGCGACTTCGACAATGGCTTGACGTCTGTGACGATGTTGGAGCCGTCGACTTGCACAAGCGCATCACTGGTCCCTGCTGTGGTGACCTCGGGCAGTGCGGGTTGCTTGCCAGGACGATCTTCCGGCTTGCCGTCGCGCTCTTCTGTGTCGGCAACCTTGATCACTTCTTCCAGCGGCTGGACGACATTATTGGCGGTGACTTCTTCTGCTGGCTTCTTTGGAGACACAGGGATCGGGTTGGGCTCCTCGGACAGCTCCGCAGGTTCCTTTGCGGTTACTGTGACGAACCCATTGTCGGAGGACTGCACCTCGATGGATTCAGGTTCGAAGTTCAAGTCTCCCACTTTGTCGGCGTGCCCATTCTGTATTGTTGGAGTGTCCTTCTTGCTCTCTGGACTCTCATTGATCATGCTGTCAAAGGTCCCCTGCCTCTCGACAATCCGCTCGACAGGCTCTTCGTCCGCCTTTCCATTCGCCCGCTTCTTCCTCTCTTTCCTCTCCTTGTTCCTCGCCAATCTCTCTTTCTCCAGCTCATGTCTCTTCTTCTGTCTCTCCCAATGTTTCTTCGCGCGGGCCTTGGCCTTTTCCTTCATCTTTTCCTTTTCTTTCGCCCGTCGAGCCCTCTCGCGGTCTTTGCGATCTTTGCGTTCCGCCTCCGTCTCCACAGCTACTCCCTTGGCGTGTGCCAGGTCGTACGAGAGGCCCATCTGGATGAGCTTTTCGCGTCTTGTGGCGGCGTAGACGGGCAGGACGTCTTCGACGTGTTCCCTGTCCGTGTGTCGGGTGGCCGTGATCTTCATCAGGACCGAGTACGTGCCGGCTTCCAGCTCAATGTCTGTGCTGACAGATCTGGCCATGGCGTAGTTGCCGTTGGACCGGACAATGTAGTCGTTCTCGTCCTCCCTGTCGTCGGACTCGAGGCGGAATTGCAGGTCGAATCCGTAACCGCCCTCCAAGCCCCCGAAATAGGTGTCGTCCAGCTGCGCCAGGACAATCACCACGGGCGCCTTCTCTTCCAGCGTCAGGGAGAACTTGGTGCTGTGATACTCGGCCGACCACGAGACATCGACGCTGGTCCAGCACTGCGTGACGTTCCACTCGGCGCCAAAGATCCTGGTGCGGTCGAAATGCTGGTACGTCTTGAGGAGGTCCTCGTAGCTGATCCAGAAGATGCCGTCGTTGCCGAATTTGTGGTCCAGCAACTGCATCCACTCGGGCGTCCATTCGGAGCTGCCGTCGCTCCATTTGCCCGTCCACTCCTTCTTGCCCCAGGGGTTACGGAGTTTGAGGAGTCTCTCGCCCTTGATCTCCCTCGCGTCCATGATGCTGTAGGCGTGGCCTTCGGAGATTCCTTCGCGTTCGCGCGGCGCCCCGGTGGTGTCGAGCCAGTTGGCGTAGAAGCCCGTGGCGCAGCCAAACAGGAACTTCTTGCCGACCTGCATGAGCTCGTCGCGCCAAAAAGCCTCGCGGTCGAGAATGTCAGTGCTGTAGATCTCGGTCGTCACGCCGCCAGTCAAGTCCTCGATGGCCTCGCCGGTGAATCCGCCGTCGATCGAGGCAAAGTCCCCGTGGGCTTTGGCGTAGGCCTTTTCGAGAAGCGGGAGCCACGTCTCGTTTTCGTCGCTGCACTGCGCAAAGTACAGCGCCCTCGAGCCGGTCAGGTGGGCTTTGCGGTATTCCTCGGCGCTGTCCACGCGGTTGATGTCGTCCCAGACCACCCGCTCGTCCTGGGCTTCGTCGTAGTCGGGCGCTCTGGCTAGAAATTTCCGTCAGCGCTCGCGAGCATGGAGAGCTGTGATCACGCATGGAGACATGAACCCCAGGAGATACTTACTGTAAAGTTTATCATCGATGATGGTGTGCTGCCATTCGCCATCTTAAGAATGGATTAGCATATTTCATTGCCTTTCGCCCAGGGTGTCAGAATCTTACCTCGAAAAAAGACAAAGCCGTAAACACCGACGTCTGGGTGGTCGTGTTTGACACAAACCCTGTCGATCAATCCTTCCATATTGCCCAAACCACACAGTGCCGCCATCAGATAGCAATCTCCATCACGACCCTGGCGCACGTCACCAGCAGTCGGGCCGTTGATGAAAAATTGGGGCTTCTCGAAGATGTCCTAGCTATCGTATTAGCTATGGGTGAATCTCTCAAAACTGCATCCACAGAGCAGAGCAGAATTTACCGTGACCCTCTTGACGCCCTTTGGCTTCATGGAATCGCCCGGCGTGCTGAGCCCGTCGAGACAGTTCCGCTGCCCGGACTTGAGATCCCACTCGATGTCGAAGTGCATGTCCCGGTACTTCTGGTTCAGCCGACGGCACTCCCGGACGATCCTGTCGACGTCCCTCTCGCACTCGGCGCGGGCCTCGTCGTACGACTTGGCGGCGCGCTGGCCGGAGACGGTGCCACGGGGGGTCTTGGCCGCCTTGTTGCGCGCGTAGGGGTTGTTGGGGAGTAGGGTGAAGACTTTGCCGGGGTGTCGGGGGTTCAGCTTGTCCCAGAACTGGTTGACCGTCTCCTGGGGAGGCTGTCGGCGCGGTTTGCGCCGCATCTTGGTGGGCGGTGGTGCGATGGACAGATCCGGAGGTGGAGGACCGTAATAGCGGCCGCCTCCGCCGATGTTGTCTCGGCGATCGTCCATGGTCTTTTTATGAGTTGAGAGGAGAGATGATTCGAGCCCAAATGGATGTATCAGTGACTCAATTAGCAGGTTGCGTGTCCACAGAAGCTCGATGGCAGCTGAAATGCCACGGCCAAACTAGCTCGCTGAACACAGCGGCGGTGGGGAATAGCACAAGGCCCAACGGCGTGGCAGCCTGCCGAACAGTCAAACAATCACCTGAGTCAGACGACACGAGGATGAGACGGGTTGCAAGAGAGATGAAGTCCGTCTTATTAGTCCAACACGAACCAGATCGACAAACATAAAGAACAGAAGTGGATGGTGTGGAACGAGAGGGAGGCTGAAACACCCAAGGAAACAACAAAGACGAAGGCATCAATTTCACCGGCGACAAAAAACACCCGAGCTCGAGGTCGTCAGGCCAGCTCAAGTCGCACGAGGGATCTCGGCCCTGGACCAGTGCACGGCCTACTAGCAGCTACGCCAAATGCCAGACACATCAAGTGGGCGTGCGGCTGAGACGCAGCCAAAAGCCCTGGACTTTTGCGATGCATGCAACGAACGAGTGACGGACGCCACGATGCGCCAGAAAGTGGCATGTTGCCTTTTTGCTGGTTCTTTTGGGCATGGCCTTTGGTTGTTTTGGGCAGAGAATCCTTCAGATGGACGCCTCACTAACCTCAGCGGTGCTGCGGGATGAACCAGTGGCTGGGCAGAACCAGGCAGGATTGTGGCCCCCAACAAGGCCAGCGGTTATCGTCGCCTTCGCCTGGATGCGCAAATGTCCGTGCACTGGGGATGGTCGATGGTCGATGATGACCAAACAATCGAGTATATTGGGAGAGAGTTGCCTTGTACATGGTGAATTCTCCTGTTTTGTCTCGTTCCAAACAACTAAACATGGCGTCTACATTGCTTAGACACAAAGCCACTATTACCATATACCCCGCCTACTAGGTAAGCCCAACAATCAGACGTGCCTGACAGACCTATCCGTCGAGTCACGCTGGTAGCACGATACCCCTTAGAAGCCCTTCTTCTCGGCCACATCATAGTCGCCAAACTCGTCGGGAACAATGACCAAGTTGTCCGAGCGATACGGGTCGACCTTGACTTGCTTGAATTTGCGGGCAGAGACTTTGTTCTCAAACAAGACATCAAGTTCGGCATAGGTGAGGCCCTGGGAGCAGTGTAAGTCACCTGGACAAGATCCAAAATGGGACAGCAGTTTACCTTTGGCTCGGGGAGACGGAAATAGGTCCAGATCAAGCCCAACATGTTCAGACCGCCCCAGAAGAAGCATGTCTTCCCGCGCCACCCCCACGCCGTTGGGTTCATCATGCGAGGTTGAAGAGTGCCAACAATAATACCCATGATATTGTACACGTTACGGGACAGCACAACGGTCTTGATTCGAAGCCGAGTGGACGGAAGCTCAGCCACCAGTGAGTAGCAGACGGGCCCAACGGTGAAATCATAGATGAAGGTGAGGATGAGAATCAAGGCACCAGAAGCCCAACCAATCGAGGTGGACAGGCTGGGAACTCCAAGACCGCCGATGATCATCAGAATGATGAACATAGCCAATTGACCGGCGAGATACAAGGTGCGACGGCCGAAGTGCGGCATCAAGAACCAAGAGAGCACCGTCCCAAGGAAGCCCATGGCACTCTGGCCAACACCGAGGGAGTACGCATTGCTTTCGCTCAAGCCGGCCTGGATCATGAAATAGGTCCCCCAACCGATCATGGGCGATCCAGACGTCTGTTGAATCAACCAGGTGATGCAGGTAACTTCCGTTCGGCGCAGGTCAACGCCCTTGAAGCAGTCCCAGTAGTTGGTCCCCGCGGTTTGCTGGATCTCGAGCTCGTTGGTGTGGATCATCATAGCCAATGTGTCTTCAGCGTTGAATTCAGTGTTCTTTTTGGAGGTCAACCTGAGCAGTGCAGCGCGAGCTTGATCCAGTTTGCCGTGGCGAACAAGCCACCACGGACTCTCCGGTGCAAGGAAGGCAGCGATGCCAATGGGCACCGGCCATACCCACTGGATCGCATATGGCACGCGATAGGCCCACTGGTCAGTCTGGTTCACAAAGCCCTTCAGGACGCCAGCAGCAATAAGCTGACCAATGACCCAGCAGAGGTTGACGTAGGTAGTCAGGTACGGTCTCAACGGCACTGGGGTCACCTCGGCGGCATATGTGGTGGTCAGGGTTTGGAAGACCTAAGGGGAGTGATATCAGCATGATTGCTCGAAGCCTGGATGCTATGGTTGTGAAGGGGTCACTCAAGGCTGCAGCACAGGGATCGAACTTACACCCCAGGGGAGACCGGACAAGACGTAACCGGCGAGTAGCATATGCACATCAACGGCGAAGAAAGTGATGAAAATGCATCCACAGATGAAGGTCAGGGCGCCAATCATGGTCCAGCGGTATCCGATGCGCTCGGAGATGATGCCGTTGAGAAACAGTCCGATGATCTGAGCGGCAGCCGTGCCGTTGGTGAGCGCCGATTGCCAGGCCGCAGAGACCTGGTAAGTTTGGACGCCGTCGACGATCCCTGCGGGCGAACCATACTTGCGAGCAAACGTGGTCAACCCGAAGAAGTTGCCGAGGAGGTAGGTGTCGTATCCCTCCATGATGACGGCGAGAGACAGACAGAAGGAGAACATGATGGCTTTGGGATACAACCGGCAGCCCTCGCGGAAGCCCATCTTGTGTTCCAAGTCTGCGGCAGCTTTGGCATCGGCAGAGAGCTCAGCCAGGTTGGGGACTGCCACAGACATCTTGCGAAGGGTTTCATCCTTCTGATTGAAGACTGTCTCGTCTTGTTGTGCTGCGACAGCTGCAGCAGGGACAATAGACGACCTGCGTCTGGTCGTGTCGTAGGTAGGTGCTCCCATGTTGTTGGCATAGTTGGAGACACTCATGTGGCGGCCAGCACGGCCAGCGCCACTCTCTTCGTCGTGGGCGTAGCTCATCTTGAGAGGCAGTTAGGCTCAGTCAAAGATACGGGCAATGAAGCATGCGGCCTCGATGGTCCCGAGTTAAAACAGTGAGATAGCGTAGCTGCCCAAACACCTGGGCCTGTGGTCGAAGGATGCGAGCCTCCAAGGAAGGGGTTTACCACGGCCATATATACTCTTGTACCTGGTGATCGAGCTTCCCTTCCTCTGGTGAACCCAAATGACGCAGTGACATCTCAAGACAGCTAGGGCAGCAGTGTGCGCAAAGCATAGCTCTCGGTCGCATTGACATCTGCCAATAGCAAAGAGGTCGCCGGAGAAATTTCCAATCAGCGCGACTCGAATCAGCTGGGGGCTCGCATGATCGAGGTACGAGTTACCCAAACCAATGTTGCTCAGTCTGCACCATTGGCTTGTCCAAAAGTTCGCTGAGCAAGGCTAAGCGAGTTGGTCAAGGTCAGGCGGGTCAGGTGTTGCCAGCTCACAGACCAATGGATCCGAGTGGAGAGGCTACCAAGAGGCTTGGATGGTCCCAGAGCCTTCCCACAAACGCAGGTGGACATGCAGTCCGCGAGGGAAAAACAGGCGACGAGTGGTCGTTGGCTGGCCTGGGCGGTGAGCAGTGGAGCAGGTGCTGAAGATCGCAGAAATGGCCGGCAAAAGAGTGGAGAGATTGGCAAACAGCCTCGCTTTCCCATGTGCCACCCTGTCTCGCTCCTCTCCCCCTCGATGACCCCAGCAGACCTGGTTGCTTACCAAAACGGGCGACTTTAGACTCTCAGGATGGTGCCCTAGCTGCTGATGGTGAGCCAAACCCCGCACTCTGGCCAAAGAGCCCACTTGTGTCAAGCCCCAGATCGTCTCCACCATGTCGATGGCTGGGGCAACTTGATGTCTGGGTTTCCAACATGCCTCCGGACCAATCTGTCTCCCAAAGTCTGTTTCTCTCCAGGTGTTGGGCTGCGGGCAGATGCTCGGCGCTTTTGGTGATCTGGGGGATCAGCTCTCTCACCCACATTCCTCGGTAAGCCGCCGCCCGTCCACAGACAGGTCTTTGCCGTCCTTCTCTGGAAATAGAGTCTCCTGATGTGCGTGGGAGGATCCGCGCTTTGTGTTCGTCGAGGTGGTGCCGACAACCGCATGGATCATTGCAACCTCTGTAATCAAGATAACTCGGCAGCTACGAGTCTGCATTCCTATCTGAGGTTGAGATGCGACCGGCGAAATTGTGATCCCTGTCGATTGCAGCAGCCATCTGCCCCCTTGTCACCAACAAACGAAGCCTGAGCCTTCAGCCTCGAGTAGCTGCAGTAGGTCTAAACTTCGCCGAGTTCTTGTTGCATCGAGATCTGTCCGGGCACTAAGCGAAATGGAAAACGTCACCACTTGGGCGGGTTGTTGGTGTCAGAGAGGTTGTAGGTACCGTTGTTGCCGAATGTTCCTGTTGCCTCTCGCTAAACTATGTCTATCATTGATGATCTCCTCGTCACTCTGTTGGTTTTCCTCGAGCCTAGCAGACGACAGGACTGAATCAGGACGGGCTAAAGACAAAGGTTGCGTGGGTGGCTTGGCCTTCGTGTTGAGGAGGGGTTGTCGGTTGGCATTCCACGGCGGAAATGACAACACCCTCTTGTTCGCACTAGGCTCTGACATCAAGGATTGGAAAAAAGGGTGCACTCAAGCGACAGTGTTCTTCCCTCTTTTTCCTTGTGGCATTCATGGTTGAGACCAGTTGCACCATAGCTTAGAAAAGGACTAATGCATAAATCGGCGAGCCCTCGTTTCCATGTCAGAACGCACTTCAGTATCCACGGTTTCGGGGTTGAGGCTGTCGAGGAAGACCCGCTCGTGAAGACTTTCTGGGGGTCTCGTTCTATGCAAGCTGCCGTCATCATGCGCATGAAGACGCCTGCCTCACAAATGGATACTCCGTGCACTAGGCTGCTCTCATGTCAGTGATGGCCTGGCTACCTTCGCACGGGCGGGCGGAAATGCGCAAGCCGGGTTACAAGTCCTGCATTTGGACACTGAAAGAAAACGCCTGCCAGGCTTGGTGGGGAGTCCATTTGGCGGTTAGTGTGCCTCCTTACTGTGCTAGGAAACTTGTTGCGGTCTGGCGATGCATGAAGGCTTGCAGCAGTGTGATTCCTGCAATCTCGGCGCGTAAGCTGTGCCCTACCAGGCCAGGGCGCTAGCAGCCTCAACATCCTGGACGAAGAAGAGACATTCGATGGATTTGGGTCGCAGTAGACATGTCGAAGGGTGCGTTTGTTGAGTGGAGGAGTGAACAAAGGGGAAAGGCTTGCCAGAAGCAACTGCTGGGCTGCGCAAAAAAGTAGGGCCGAGAATTTTGCCGGCCGCAGGACCGCAGGATCGCAGGGAACCACAGCGGGACCAGGTATGGAGCATCGAGTATAGAGAACATCTCATCACACAATCCACAATTACTCCGGCCGCAGCACACTTTTCATTCTATCGACGTTCGAGATTTCTACCCGTTTCAGCTAATGAAACGGTCCAGGGGTTCTCAATTCTTGCAGCGGCAGGTTCTACGTACCACGTTGCGGAGAGATTGATCGTTTGCGACGGCAGCGGGAGACCTCTTGCCTCGATGTGATCTGTCGCTTTGCACTGGAGCGTCCTTCAATCGCACTCATCGGGCTCTCCCAGATCCTCCATTTACTCATCTTCCAGGTCTGCATACCCTGCGAATGCATCGAGAACCCCATCCACTGCTGAGGCCGGTGAGAGGACGTCGAAAAGGTTCCTGTGAGGGGGTGACCTCTATTTCCACTGCTCATGAAGCTTGACCGTTGATATCCAGGTTCGACATTGCCTCCTCTGCTGTCTTTCCCACCTCAACTCGTTCCTTCCCCTTGCCTTCGATCGATCCGTCTGGTTTGGCTGTGACATTGGCCGTGCCTGGGTATCTCGAGCCTTTGTCCTTGGGTTGCTTCTTCTTCTTCGCAGGCTCGGGAGGAGGGTAGGCTTTCCTCTCAATCTCTTGCCATTCCGGTGATGCCTGGAATTCGGCCTGAATAGGAGCCAGCAACTCCACAAGAGCAGCAGAAGCGCCAGATTTGAGCAATTGTGGGGTGAGCTTGTCGGCTTGGTAATCCCCCTTCAAGGTCTCGATATCATGATAAACCAGCGGCTCTCCTTCTCCTTCTCTTCTCTCGCACACGAAGGTTCCTTTTCCCTCCGGATCCCGAAGAGCGCTAATGGGCAGTAACACATACTCGACGAAAGATATCAGGCCATTTCCTTCGACTTCTCCTGCGGCGGCATAGGCTTTGCGGAGCTTCTTTCTGACTACCTCAGCCGTGTCGAGAATGTCAATTTTGGAGTCGGGGTCTGATGCAGACATTTTGCCTCCAGCCAGACCGGGCACCATGGGATTCATCAAGTGTGCTCGTTCTTTGTAGCCAATCTTGGGGAGTGTCTCTTGCGCCAGAGCAAAGATTTTGCGCTGATCAACTCCACCAAACTGTGCATCGACCCCCAAATGCTGCTCATCTAGTGCCTGCATCAACGGATAGATCAACCCCGATAATGTGGCATTTTCAACCTGTTTGACGACCTCAGCACCAGCCTTCTTGGCATCATGCTCTGTGACCACGCTACTCAGTCGAAAGACATCCATGGTATAATCTGCACTTAACTGGTAGGAGGAGCCGAGAACGAATTCCAACTTCTCCAAACTCACACCGACTGCCTTGAGGAGGGATTGAATAATGTATTTGTAGTATTCCGCCCGGAATTTGACCAGTTCGATTGGCGCTTTCAAATTGTCGAGAAACCCGTGAATGTCCGCAAGGAGGATCTTGACCCGACAGCCCGCTCGGAGGAAGTGCGCAATTTTCATCATCGGCACGAAGTAGCCGCAGTGCGGTCTTCCTGTCGTAGCAGTGCCCCAGTAGATTATCAATGGTCTCTGCTCTTTCAGAATGACATTTTCCAGGATATCTTCGTGTAGAACCTCCTGCAACTGGTCTTTGATCAAGGCGAGCTTCTCCTGCGGAGACAGCTCTTTGCCCGCCATGGTGGGCAGGGTGAGATGGGGGAGCGGTGCGGCGGTGCTGAAGGAGTGTAGGGAGAAGACTTCAAGGCCTGTAGATAACAAACTTGGAGCGCAAGTTCGTGATGTTGGCGGAGGAGTAGAAAATGGAAGCGCCGACAAGAGTATCTTAAGACCAAGTCGGTTGTCTTCGCAGAGCGGTCGTCTGTGACTCCCAAGATGAGTCAATTGGCGGAGGGCGGCGTGAGCGGGCAATTTTCACAGATGCCCGCAATTCAGCCGAACTGCGGGCGCGGAAATCTCTTGGCAGGGACCATCTCCTCCCAGCCAATCAAACGCGTCTCTGGCCTAAACAAACACTGCGCATGGGACAACCTTGCAGCACTACCTTACATCGACCTGTGAAGAATTCCGTTGTAGCTTCAGGGTGAGGACTGTGCATACTGTTCGCTGCCTCTGTATCGGCATACTAACCTCTAGGTCCTTCGCCACATCGTAACCTTACTGCCGTCTTCAGGCAGAGGCAACGCGGACATTGCAATATTCAAGGCGGCCCCTTAACGCTGTTTTCCTGTTACCTTACGACCAGGCTTTGCTCTCCTGACAGCAGGTAGATGAATCAATAGCGGTTATCGGAACAAGATGGAGAACTACCAGAAAATCGAAAAGGTCGGCGAAGGTGAGAGTGGACACTGCTACAAGTTCCAATTCCCGCATCTGACTGACAATTCGGCGACCAGGCACATATGGCGTTGTATACAAGGCTCGAGACCTCTCCAATGGCGGCCGAATCGTTGCTCTCAAGAAGATCCGTCTAGAAGCCGAAGACGAAGGCGTCCCCAGCACTGCAATCCGCGAGATCTCCCTGTTGAAAGAAATGAACGATCCGAACATCGTGCGTTTACTGAATATCGTTCACGCCGACGGCCACAAGTTATACCTCGTCTGCGAGTTCCTTGACCTTGACCTGAAAAAATACATGGAGGCATTACCAGTATCCGAGGGTGGACGAGGCAAGGCCTTGCCCGAAGGCTCGAACTTGGACATGCAGAGACTCGGGCTGGGCAAGGATATGGTCAAGAAGTTCATGGCACAGCTGGTTGAAGGTGTTCGATACTGTCACAGCCACCGTGTCTTGCACCGAGACCTGAAACCCCAGAATCTTCTGATTGATCGCGAGGGCAATCTCAAGCTGGCTGATTTTGGTCTTGCACGAGCTTTTGGTGTCCCCCTGAGAACGTATACTCACGAAGTTGGTCAATTCGCTCCTCCTGCCTCAAGCCGTCGCTAACTGAGATCATAGGTTGTCACACTCTGGTACCGTGCCCCAGAGATTCTCCTCGGTGGACGACAATACTCGACGGGTGTAGACATGTGGTCCGTCGGCGCTATCTTCGCTGAAATGTGCACCCGCAAGCCTCTATTCCCTGGCGACTCTGAAATTGATGAAATCTTCAAAATCTTCAAGTAAGCCTCCCACCCCGCAGCGCTCATCAGCGTCGTGTCTCGACTAACGCGAAGCAGACTGCTCGGCACCCCGGATGAAACGACTTGGCCTGGCGTCACATCATTTCCAGACTTCAAAACCTCCTTTCCCAAGTGGCGCCGAGAACCAACCTCCAAATTCGTCCCCAACTTGGAACCGGCCGGTCTTGAATTGCTGGATGCGATGCTCGAGTACGACCCTGCGCATCGCATCTCGGCCAAGGCAGCGTGCAATCATCCGTACTTCGCGGCTGGATCGGCTGCCTATTCCCAGCGTGGACCCGGCGTGGTCAGAACGAACGGATTTCATTGATATCAAGACTTGAACGTGGACGATGCATCTGTGGAATGTGGAATGAGTTCAAGGGGGAGGGGGGCGTCCACGTCAGTTAAACTGGTCAAAAGTGCCTGCCAGCAAACGGACTATGATATTTGTTACCGAGCTGTGCATTGAAACGAGCGGCACAGGATCGGAGTGAGATCGGCGCGGGCTGGGTGGACGGGCATGCTGGGCTGCACTGGGCAAAAGGGCCGGGTTGTAATGAGTTATGTATGTTTTGGGCTAGAAACGACGAGCGCAAGGGGTTTGAGTGAGGCCTTCTTCGGGGACCCCCTTCTACGCGCTGACCACAGGAGTTCCATGGCAACAGAGCTGCTTTGAACGAGTGCATGTCCGGCGAAATCTCCATACTCTTTCGATGTGCGTGTAGCTGCCCGGTCCGACATCGAGTGCTATTGTTGACGGGGTGGTCCGAGACATCCACATGAACGCAGATTGGAAGCGATTTCTTTCCACATCCCGCCCTTATTCCGCATTCTAGACTTTGGATGGGGGCCCGATGCAGTCTTGAGTCTGTGGAGTAGTAACACAGGATAGATTTATAACTGGCTACGGCTATAGCTGTGGCTATGTGAGAGCAGCGACTACGGATCTTCACTTGTCAACTTTCGCCCCAGCTGCTGCTCATCCCGTTGAAGCCCGTTGAAGCCGTGGGAGGGCGCTTCCTCTCCTCTGCTCAGCCTTCTGACATCCAGACGAGAGACGACATCTCACGCGTGGTCCTTGTCCACCAACGTCTCCTGCGTTGCCGGCCCACTCACGCTGGCCACGCTCTTCCTCTTGCCCACGTAGGAACTGGCCTGCAACATGTTCAACTTGTCCTCCTCGCTGTCGAGCTTCTTGAAGTTGAGCCAGAACAGGACGCCGCCCGCGCCGGCCAGGACGGCGACGACGCCGTAGTTCCACACGAGCAGCGGGTCGGCCGACAGGGCGACGAGGCCCTGGGCGATGGCGCTGGAGAAGGCGTTCATCAGGAGGTTGATGGCCATGACGAAGCTGCGCATGTTGTACGGCGCCTTGGTGAAGGCGTACTCCAGCGACGTGATGCTCGCCATGATCTCGGAGAAGCCGATCAGCACGTACGGCACCGTCTGCACCCACACGTTGATCGGCGCCGGGCCCGCGCAGTCCGGGTCCGACGCGTGGTGGCCGCACGGCGAGAGCCGGTAGATGTACACCTGGATCACGCACGCGGACACCATGGCCAGACTGGCCAGCGCGAACCCGAACGCGATGCGCTTGATTGGGGTGAAGTTGATCCGCGCTTTGCGGAGGGCGGGGTAGACGACGAAATCCATGAACGGGATGAAGATGATGATGGAGATCGGGTTGAGGTTTTGGATGATGCTGGTTTCTCGTTAGCGTCGTGGAACTGTGTACGCGGAGGTTGAAGGGGTCCTGCAGTCCTCGTGCAGGTCTCTGGGAAGACTTACTCGTTGGGAACGCCGTTGAGTTCCATGACGCTAGAATGTGTAAGCGACTGGTCAAGTTTCCCGATTTCGCGTCCAAGAGGAGTCACTCACGCAGCTTGAGACGTCAGGTTGCCCGTCATCTGGCCATAAGCAAGCCAGTAAAGAGGCAGGTACAAAAAGACGGCACACGCCTTGAGTCCGCGACGGACTTCTTCAACCCAAGCGTCGTCGAACGTCATCCACGTCGGTCGTTGAGCGGCGGGAATGTTGGAAGGTTTCACCCGTTCCCAAAAGTCCGGAGCAGACAAGTTCTTGTACGTCCTGACTGGGTTGATGCTCCATCGACCCTTGGACGCATAGGTCCACAGATGCCAGAACTTGGCCACGATAGAGCCAGTGGGAGGAGTCAACACGTAATGCTTGCGGCATACTATGAGCACCACGGGCGCAAACAAGAACAAACATGTGGGGAGCATGTAGGCGAGCCAGAAGCCGACATATTTCTCGCAATAAACCATGCCCTGCGGTGTTTGTTAGCATTGAAGAGCGCTGGCGGGACAAATAAACCGTGAAGTGTTCCTGCGACAACGAAGGCACCGAGATTGGGAGGGACTTACGATTTGTCCGACCAGAGAGCCGATGTTGATGCAGAGGTAGAAGTAGAGGAATATTCGAGAGGTCGTCACTGTTGGATCCACGATGACACGCTCGCCCGATGGGAGCACCTCGATCCTCTTCTTGGTCTCTGTTTGTTGCTCTGCCAAAAGTGGAGCGATGTTCGACTTGAAGCCACCAGTTCCAACACCGAGAATGATAAGTCCGATGGAGAAGGCGGCGAGAGCAGAGCTTCCGTGAGCAATAACACTCGGGGCTGCTGAGGCTGTCAAGATGACATGTCCCACAATTGCACAGACGATGGCGGCGTGGATGGTTTTGTAGCGACCCCAGTGAGCATCGGCAATGTATCTGCATTTCTGTCAGCGTGGCCTAGCGGCGATGCACTCTGATAGCAACAGCTTGTTCAAAATCAACATCCCTTCACCTCAGAGGAGACTTACGCGCCCAGCAGAGGCATCACATATGCCCAAAACTGGTTGAAAGTCACGAGTCCCGTCGAGGCTCGCTGGCCCATTCCCAGCGCACCAGACTGACCCTCATGGCCTGCCCCGGTCGTAGAGCCTTCGGGAAGAGGCTGCTGAATGAAATTGACAACTGAATTGAATCAGCGAGTGCCTCGTGTTGCAGGGCCCCGTGAGTGCAACTTACAGACAACGGTGGTGCCATAGTAGGAGAATCGCTCGCACAGCTCAACAAAAGCGACAGTGAAAGCAGGCCAAGGAATCTTTCCTGAGACTCGGCGAAGAGTGTGAAGATCGGCCTCAGTAACTTCGTCGTCGGATGAAGAGTTCGTCTCTTGAAATGAGGTCACATCAATGGAACCACGCCCCAGGCGCTTCTCCGCCACAGTGCCAGCAAGGGCCGCATCGTCCACCTGAGCCTGGGCAATAATGGGAGCCTCGTTAGAAGCGATAGCACTCATATTTGCAAGATGTTATGATTGAGACTGATGAGGCAAGAGTAATCATCTGCTCTGATGTCGGAGCGAAGCATGGGTCGTCTCTGCACAAATATATATCTCGATCCCATTTTTGCCATCGAAAGCATTCATTTGCATATCACTAGAACGTAGGCCCGGAGCAGTCCGACAAATGAGGAAGGTGTCGTTGGTCGTTATCAATGGGAGGCAGAGTGGCACAATAGTGATGCATCCCAAGGACTTGGCGACATGGTTCAAATGTCTTGGTACAGCAGGCTTAAGCGGATAGGATCATTGACAGGCAGTTTTTGACCACACACCAGCCCGCCAACTGATGTGATGGACAAGCTTGATAACCAAGGTGGCCATACCTTTACTTGAACTTCATTGGGGAATTCTTTCTGGGTGGTCGCGTGTCACAGGATAGCCGTGGTGGTTGTTGTACCACCTACCGTTGGTAAGCTGCAGACATGTTCCTTTTGTTGGCAAAACAAAGTGCCATGTACCGCGTGCACGATGCTGAATAGCTACACAGAGCTCCTCGTCCATATGCACATCAACCTCGATGAGACAGGTGATGGGGGTGATTTGCGTCCAGAATGATGGTGTAGAAAGGAGAGGGGGTCTTTCGCCACTGAATGGAAAACTGCGTCTATTGCTTCTCTGCCTCAGATCTCCCGCGCCCCAGCTGCAGATCGCACCATTCCGCTGTCTTGGCAGTCTTGGCCCTGCTAGTTAATCAGACGGAGCGAGGCAAGTGTAACGTCAACTTAGCGAGAAAAAGGACAACGAGGAAGGACGTACAAAAATACTACCTGGTGAGCTCGTTGTCTCGCGACACTCCTCGCGGTCCACCAGACCTCCGGTTCCTCACGGCTACGTACGGCATCAACTGATAGGGTGAGATAGGAGATACTGGTCCAAAGCTCCCCATAATTACGGCCTAGGAATTACCCATATTGGCTAACCATGACCGCCCTGGCAGGGAAGGGGCTCGTCCAGAGATGACATTACCTCGGTAGGTTCCGAATCGGCACTGTGGTCTCAAGAGCTCGAGTTGCTCATCAAACTCAGCCCATATTAAGCCGTTGACCTGGGTTGTCGTGACAATGGCTCTTGAAGCCTTCCTGGAATTCGTCCTTATACCCCTTGGATCGCCACGGATCGCCTATCTTTTCCCTTTAACTATTTCCGCTGGAGAATCCGCTTTATCGTCTCCGTGATGCCGACACCACCGACAAGCCGTTCGTTGGGTGCCGTGGTGTTGTGGGATCATCGCTGTTGGAGTCCAGAGAAAAGCCATGTGATTTCCGAACAAAGCCTCATTCGTTAGTGAAATCTCTTCATCACTCTACACCACTTATTTTCGTTTATACGGTCTCCTGGCTGCCTTGAAGTTATAGAGTCTTCTTGGTGCATTGTATACGAAACACAATGTTCTGTCCCGTGCTGTTCGTCCTGTCCTATCAACTCATTCATGTTGCGCAGTTGCGCAAATTGCAAGTATCTTGATTTCTCCATCTGTGGATGTCCTTCTCGCACAGGCGAGGAGGCATTCTCTATAGAATCCTCCCCCAAATCGGCTTCTGCGATGTTGCTCCCGTATACACCCGTTTTATGCGCAACCTTACGCCCGCAAGAGACTGCGGCTATACTGCAGTCTCTGCGTCGGCAACGTCGAGGCTGTGACGAGGCGGAAGTTGAATATATATGTCCAAATCGGGTAATTGGTCGGTGAGTGGCGACGTTGACCTCGCAGCCTGACAATACATTTGTTCGTGTATCGGGGACCTCCCTGCTGTCAGGAGTCAAACCTGTCCCAGTCAGCACTTTCTTTTCGCTGGCAAACTGGCGACAAATGAAAATGGTGTGCTCGTATCTGCAGCAATCCGCTTTGAGCATTGCCATGGAAAAAATTCTGCCTGCCATTACGACGCCGGTTTGGTTCGCACATGCAAGGCATCTCCCTGCTTGGAATATCAACCTCCCAGTCCCCCCTGAGTACGGGGTCATCTGACTCCCGGGGAACTGGGGTAAGAAACTTTGAGAGATTGACGTCTGCCAGGGCCAGGCTGACTTGGTTTGCACATGCAAGGCATACTCAGCGCCGCATGGATATGAGACGACGTTGTTGTCTGGGGACTGTTTAAAATGGAGGACCTCCTCGACTTTCTAGTTCATCTCTAGATTCTTTTTCAACCCATCGATACCTGACCTTCCGACCACATTTTAGTACGCTTTCTCGGACGTTGAGCAGGTATGGCTTTCATCAAGCTTAAACACGGGGACGAACTTAGCCTTACTATCAAACCACCGCCTACTCCGCCTTGTATGTCAGCCCTTCCTTCGGGCCAAACTGGCCTCAAAAGTTTTATTCTACTAACGAGAGGTGCCCAAGGGCCGATTACGCCAGGGCCTCCTTGCGTAGCTTGGCAGATACACGAAGATGGCTCATTCAAGGTTTTCAGTACGTTAAACATATTTTTTTCCGTTTTACCCCTCTCCCGGAGGCCTTCAACTGAGAAAGAAAAAGTAACTGATTATATTTTTATTAGCTGCAACCCAAATACCTGATCTGGAGGCATTTAGGCCCCTTGAAATTGGCGGTTTGAGTTCGCACCTTCAATCACAATTAGTCGCATCTGACGAGAATATAGCACCCGTTGAAGGAGCCGTGGCGTTAACAGCGACCGAGTCGCATGGAGAAGCCGGTGCGTCCATCATGTCACCAGTGCCCAGTTTCCCCGACTATTCCAGAAGCTAGAGGACTTACAAGATATGTATCTTCAGGCCCGGCGGCGCACGGTGAGGACGGCAAACCAAAGAAGTATTCGAGGCGCGAGGCCCTGATGATCCAGAGCGAGTCTCTGCGTATTGCAGCCAGGGCAGTCTCGTTGCAGAGCGAGGCCGTTCGCAAAGAACTCGAGGCCCTGGATAAGGTGGCCTCGTAAAGGTAGATGGAATTTGGAAATTCCAGAGGAGACTCTAGGGGGCAGAACTTTGATTTATTAGCTTCCATCGCAGAACAAAAGCAGATGACAACTGAGGCCAAGGGTTGGGAACACCTAATGCGGGACACAGGGGCCTCGCCTAGTGCACATAACTCTTGGATCCTCCGTTTCTAAATCTGCCGTGGCTGCTGGTGGGAATTTGTCGCTTAAGTACATTCGCTTCAATGATCAATGTTGTATGGGAACAACTTCTGAACCCGAAATGAAGGAGTCGCCGTTTGGGTATCGTTGCTGTCCAAAGATGCCTACGGTTGTTTCTCGATACGATACCTCCGCGATGGCCGAAAGTATTTTCTTTAGATGTGAGCATTAGATAACGAACATACTGATACGAAAATGACGTATTCAAGGCATTTGTTAATATGCCCGTCCAATCTGCCGGAAGTCGATCTGAGGGACTGGCCTAGGTCTTTCTCCCCAGGCGCCCCATGGGTGAGGCGGTTGGGTCAGTGTTGCCCCCTCCGGATCTTCGCCGTGATCACGGAGGTCTGGATAATTCACCGTGCTCGCTCCTTGGTTGTTTGCATCCTCCCCATGATATTCGAAGTCGGCTTGATTTGCGGGGATCTGACTCTCGCTAACATCTCCAATACTGGGAAATCTCCGAGCTATGGATGACGGGGCGGCGACGAAATTGGTAGAGGAACTAGATAGCCAGGAACCATCTTTAGGAGGCCGGAGCTCATGTACCTGAAGGTATAGAGTTCGATCGAGATCTGCAACCTTCATCAAATGGCCAGGGCCCGAGATTGGAATACCGTTTGAACTGAGTCCCCAGATGGTCCGACTCCGGCGCTCAAAAAGGATTCGCAACATCTCAAGCATCCCATTCTTCACCCACATGTCTTGTCTGAAACTGGATTTTGTGCGACCATGGAGGAGCCGACGTTGGCGCCATGTTGCCGTGCAATCCTCAATCGTCAACCCAGCAATGATGATTATTAGACCAGCCACCAGGATGAAGATAAGAACGAAAAAGTTGAACGACAGATATGACGTTCCGCGGATGATCTGATTCTGACACAGCCACAGTTGTGCAGGTGATCTGGTAACATTGATGTATGAAGTGTCTGCCGCGAACTGACCAGTGCTATAGTCAATTACGGAACGTTGTAAATTTGCCGTGCAGATAGAGCTCCAGTAACGCGCCTCCTGCTGCCACTGGTCCTCAGGTAGCCCGATTCCCATTAATCCTTGAACAGATCTGCGAGCTAGGAGAGGAGTGTCTCTTTGTGCCAGGCCTCGCACAACGTTGGCGAAGGATGAGTCTAAGGCTGACTGGAAAACCCTGTTCGCAGTGGCATATTGGCGGGCCGTCAGGTTGAGAGAATCTGCACTCTGAGGTCCAGTGCTGACTCTGTACCACCCTGTCAGAGGCGTGCACCTCTCCAGCACAGGAATTGCCGAGGGAGAATCGCTGTTGATGCAGATCTGATGCTGTTCGGCACAGGCAAGGGTAGTGACCGGCCTGTCCCGCGTGTACACCGTTTCGTTGATTGGGCCGATGCGATCCGGAGTCGGGTACGGCCGTGGCGTCTGTGCGAGAAACCAGGGATCACTCACAGGGGTCTTGTAGACTTTAGAGAACGAAAGAAAGACGAGGAAAATGTCCGCGTCGTCGAGTGCTAGCTCTGCGATCGGGATGAAAGTTGAGAAAGCTCCCGTGACATCACCGGCTGTGGCATATTTAACATTGATCTGGTATGGGTTGGTATCGCTGTACTGATCGAATGAATAGTACTGACTCCACTCAGAGAATGAATATGTCGCATTTCGATCAGCAATAGGGCTAGGGCCGTAATATGCATCAACCACACGTTTGGCGGGTGAATCCGCAGTTGCTGAAAGATTCTTCCAATCACTTATATATTTCTCATCGTTCAAGATTGTACAAGTAGTAACCTTGCGATACTGGATGCGGTCTCGTACCGGAGCATTCAATCCGAGGTGGCGATGAGAAGAAATGAGTCCTGTGTCCATCACAATAGACTGCTTCACCTTTGGTGAGCATACTCGCGGATCGAATGGACAACCGTCTTGGATCGTCCAATTCCAATCAAGGGTTTGTTGAGGAAGTTCCTTACATGCCGAGGATGGATTGGAGCAAAATTGAACGTATTGCTGACTTTGCTGATAATGTACTTGAGAGTTGGTGAAATACTCGACATTTCTGAGATTGGGCATTAATATAGCCTGGGAGGTGCCCAGTGATTCGTAGTAGGTATTGTTGAGCTCTCCACAAAATGGGCTTGTTGACAGCACTTGATCTCCAGCTTCCAGAAGCCTTGATGAGAAGATACCTGCAACACTGAAGGCGGCGAAATGCAGGAGTGCACACCCAATCAATGCCAGCGATCTTCTTCCAGATTTTATTTTCTTCTGATGTCGCCATGCAATAGCGACACGGAGCAACTGCCACAGCGTGCCGAGCTCGGAACCACTATTCCGAAGAATGACCTGTTGTTGGTGGTATAGTCCATCCCTGTCTTTGTTTGTCGCCCGGCACTGATGGAGAAGGAAAACTACCAGCTTCCACAAATATGTTCCCACAAGCTGTACATATATTGCCACTATGGCAATCAAGAGAGCAGCATTTGTAGGTGTGAG